TTACAAGAACATTTGATAAACTCTAGCTAAACTCCAAGGAAATAAATGCTTTCTTTTAAATTCCTTCTTGTTTTTTGAACTTGTGAACAAGCAGTTAAGCTAGATGGATTTAGAAAGACCCTAGTGTTTTTCTACTGAAATACCAAATGATAAACACCATTTTTCTTGTGTCCCTGCAGAAACTAGACAGCTAAGGGTAACACAAAGTTTGCTTTTACTTTCTTCCAACAATGGCACATTTCTTCTTTCAGAGGTTGATTAATATTTATTACTATAGTAAATGGCAGCTTAAAAATATGCTAGCAGTTAAGCAGTATATCGTTAATTTAAGAAAACAGGACAACTACTGTCAAACCACAATGTGCCCTTCCAGAATGAATAATTGAAGTGATACGACAGCCTTTTAAAAGGAATTATTGGAGCATCATAATATCAATTTAAATGGAAACACTTTATTGCGCCAAAGCAGAGATCTCCCTAGAGCATGCAGGATTACACGGGTAATCAGTAAGTGAGGTGCCTTATGTGCTGTGAGTGGCAACAGCAGCAAGAATTGGGAAACCAACCACAGCTTGAGCATTAAAATTGGTGTTTGTTCATGAATGATGCTGAGAGAAGGATTCCATCCTGTGCCCGCTGTAGAGGTGAGGTGATGGTGCAGGTTGTATGTGAAGCTAGTCTTAAATTCTTCTCTAAAAGAAGGCGTAAGGTGGAGGGTAAGGGAGAGGCTTCTGGGTTTCTTTTTCAATTAAGACTCTAGCTAGAGCAGAAATCTTTAATTTTTTTTTTTTAAGATGTGTTTAGGAAAGTGCAAATGACACATGCTTAATCCATAAAACCAAGTGCCAACCTCTAAAGTGTAGCAGCAGGTAAGGTTGGTTCTAGTTTGCTTATTTTTAACTGCAATGATCTGCAAAATTGTGTTAGTTGCTTCCACGTTCTTGCAGCTCTACCATTGCTCTTTCTGGTAGGGAAGGACTAAATGCTGCAGCATTCCAGCGTGCAGATAGAGCAACTCCGGCAGTGAGATGCAAACACGGGCACTGACGCACGGCCCCATTCACAGCTACCGCAGGCCTTTGCTCCCCAGCGCCCTTCCTGGGCATTCTGTGTGATCATGTCAAACACCCACCGCTTTCCCAGCAGTTTTGCTGCTGCAGATCCGCGTCCTCCCTTCCTGCTCCGTCCCCACCCGTGTCCCTGCGCGGAGGGGCGGCGCTGGCAGGGGACGCGCAGGTGCCGCCACCTTGAAGGGTGACCTGGTGTCCCGTTCCTGCACCTCCATCCATGGTTTAGTGTGACCTGCATCGCCAGGACCAAAACCAAAAACAAAAAGGCCTTTAAGATTCAAAATAAAAGGTGAAAAGGGAGATTAATTTTCTTCTTAAACCCCATATACATATATTTTTTACTTTACAGATAGGATTACAGAGTTCAGAGACTCAGACTGATCCATGATTTTAAGAGCTTTACTCACTACAAATAATCTTTTGATGATGAAACTAACTGAGGAAAGCTTTGGAAAAAAAGTCTTGCCTGAATATAGCCAAATTAGGAAAGCCATATCACAACAGTTACGTTCAAAACCACACGTATTGCTGGTTTATTTTTTTAATCTACATTACTTGATCTATTTTTGGCTATAAACTAGATGAGTCATTTGATCGCAACCAGTGAAAAACATAATATGTTGCCGCAAAATATCTCTTAAAGTAGAAAATGCAGCATTTTTTTCCACTGCAATAATACATCTGTTCACAAATAACTATGGGTAAAATCAGCACATACGGGAATTGGCTTGTTTTATTTGTTAATCAATAGAAAAGGAGCCGTCTGGTTTAATTACCATTTTTCTGCCTTTTTGATTATTTTCCTCTACTTATTTTTCAGTCTTATTTACCTTTGATTGCTTTACTCTAATTAAGAGTCCAGGAAGTGAAAATTTCTTCAAACTTCTTCAAAGATTTCAACCAAATCTTTTTATCACTATGTTCATGGAATGGGGGCAAAAAGGTAACCCAAAGCAGCTGTGCAGCAGTATTTTCTACTTCACTTAGCCCTTTACGTTTGTACAAAAGAGCAAAATTGAGAACTAGCCAAGAATGTAATAACAAATTTCCTTCCTAGACGACACGGTGGTACAGTTTGAAGAAACCCCTGCATGTGCAGTGTGAGCAGCTTCATTTGCAGCTCACAGACACAGCAGACGTCACGGGCTGCGCGCGGGCCCCGTGTCACTCAACCTGCAGCAGCCCAGCGCATTGCAACGTGTTGTCTGTAACCTGAACTTATTCAAGAATATTTATAGTCGTTGACCATTTCCATTGTCTCTGTGCCAAATTTTCCCTTGTATCAGCAAGGAGCAAGAGCCACGGAGCTCTTCTAAATTACGAGTGTGAACTCGCCCAGGAGCAGTATTGATTGCAACGCAAGGGTTTTATTAGCTCTTCCAGCCCAAAGGATCAGGCCCCTGGTTAGCATATGAAAGCTCATTTTCAGCAGCTCCAGGATTTCATTTCTGTTTCTTCAGGGATGCATTTTACTTCTTCACAACAAAACAATTCGACATAAATTCCAGGTAGGACGCTGGCCCTTTCCTCCATGTGGGGCTGACAGGGCGGTTCAGAGAACCTCAAGAACCCTCTTTCCGCTCCTCCGGGCGCTGCCTTCCTCCTCCTCCTCCTCCTTCCAGCCTCCCGCCCTCCTCTGTGCAGGTTTGGTCTCGTAACCCTCCCGTCCCCTTCATGCCAAGGCGCTCGGCGTGTCCTGGGCAGTGTTTCAAGCGTGGCTACCAGGCTGCTGCTGCGCAGGACGTGCGCCCGGCGTAGCGACAGAGGAGTTCGCTCTCATTGCACACAGCAGTGCCCGTTTTTCACCACTGAAGACCTCTTCTCTCTGGTCATTGCTGCCGTCCCACCCTGCGGAGCGCTCTGCTGCAGCAAGGCTTGCTTTCCTAGCTGTGTTTGCCAGCTGAAGGCAGCGGCCCCGCTGCGCCGGCCGCGCGGGACGGCTCTGCGAGCCGCAGCCCCGCTGCCCACGGGACCTGCTCAACACGTTCGGGGGCCGCGGGGAGGACAGGCTGAATTCTCCACGTCCAAAATTCGGAAGGGCCGGAGAGCTGCAGCAGCCGCACTCACATTGCTCACCGTCTTCTTCACTATCGCAGAGGCAGGAATACAAATCAGGAATAAAGCTGCAAACTCTACTGGGTTAGACCCTGCAAAATCCATCTTAGAAAGCACAGATCTGACCTGAGAAACGTGTATTGCTAAAGACGTTTTAAATCACAGGGAATGATGCACTAGGAAATGCTGGCTCTCCACAGATGACCTAATGTTTTATCCTCCTCTGTCCTCAGCAATTCTAGTAAACTCCTGACCCTGACACACCAGTAAAAACGAACCTAAAGGAGTCAGGAAGTCTAGCTTAATTTGCAGCATCTTGTCAGGGAAAGAAAGGAATTCTGCTTGGTTAAGAAACAACTACTAATTTCAGTTTCTTACTGCCATTATATCAGCTAGCAACTATTTGTCTGGGGTAGGAGCTCCTGCCTCTGCAGTCCGGCTGAGCCCCGGGTGCACCCAGGGAAGCCACGGCCAGACACGTCCGCAGGGAGACGAAAGCTCCGTCCTGCCGAAAGTGCCCGTGAGTCAACAGGAAGCCTCTAATCTCCTGCTGCTCCGTTTCTGATAACTGAGCATCTTTCCCCTTGGCCACTTTGTCATCAGTTTATGGGAGATGGCAGCGGCAGAGATTTAGCTGTTTAGTCACGGGATGATTCTGTCTCTTCCTCGCAAGGACCTAAGTATAGCCCAGACCCATTACTCAGAGGCCGTCAGTGACGGCTCGCTCTGGACTCCTTCCCGCGCCCCAGGCGGTGCCTCCTCGGGACGGGCTGCAGCTCTTCCCTGTCCTGGCGGGAAGTGCTGCTCCTGCGGGAAGTGCCGCTCCTGCGGTGGGAAGCGCCGCTCCTGCGGTGGGAAGTGCCGCTCCTGCGGGAACTGCTGCTCCTGCAACGTGTTCCCTGCACGGCCTCCTGCGCCGCTCGCTCCTGGTGCCGCCCTCAACCCGCCAGAGACCTAGAAAACACAACCCTGGAAAGCAGCACGGGCCGCTGTCCAGCCCCACGGGGCTCTCTAGGGCTTTGGAGATGCCTGCAGAAAGGGGGAAAGGCTCTGCCCTTGATGGCCTCTCTCCCCTGCCTGCAAACAGTGACGGGGCCAGAACTGCTCGTGTGATCACCAAGGCCAACAGTCCCAGATATTTTTGTTGTGGGTACAGGCATGTAGAGTATTTCTGAACTTGTTTTTGTCATCTTGGAGTAGCAAGAAATGAAGCAGCCTAATTGCATCTTGTGTAAACTAGTGTTTGCGTGCGAAGAAGTCTGTTACGCCGGGGAGGGCTGATCCCCGGCGTGGCGTGCGCATCTCCACAACTGCCATTTAAAAGCAAAAACAAACTCCCAATTAAGCCTGCACTTCTGCATGAAGAAACAGCCGCAGAGCATCCCTGCAGCATAAATTGTCATCAATAACAACTGATTTTTCTGCATGTCCAGACGAAATACGTCTCTGCGAGGCAGCGTAGGAGGGGAACGGGCCAGGCTCCTTCGGGAAGCCCTCGGAGAGCCCTCGCTGTGTCCGTCCGCACCGGCCGGGCTGAAGGAGCCCTCCTAACCCTTCCCTGCTTTCCACATGCGTGTGCGTACCAGGAAAACGGGATAATGTCATTGCATCGCCATTTCAGATGCTTCTTCTGCCCTGCCAAATGCCCCCCTCCATGCCAGCAGTTTGAAAAGCAATATCCCTGTGCCATTCCCTGGGCTTGGCCTCAAATGGCCTCCACAGGGTCAGCTTAACACTCTCCCAAAGGGATTTTCTCGCTCCTGAATTCCTCACTAGCATTTGGGGTGGATGTTTGTTTGCTTCTTGATCCAGAATATTTTGAAAATCTCCCCTCCAGCCAAATATATTTAAATATCTCTTCTAAAAATTGTGCATATGGGGGTACCTAACGAATTGCTTTCAGACACCGGTTCCGCACTGCTGGCTCGTGGTGGCCCTGGCCGCGGCGCGCGGAGGTCTCCGGCCCTGCTGTTTGCACAGGGCGAGGAGGGAGAGCTGCAGAGCGCGGAGCGCCAGCACGAACCGGCGCCCGCGTCCCGGCTCCCGCACAAAGGGCCTTTGTGCCTGGCGCAGCCGGGAGGTGCCACAAACCTGTCGTGGCCACCGGCAGCACGAAGGCCATTCCTCAACATTGAGCAGGTATAAAAATTACAAGAAAAACATCTCTTTAGACACTGTCTACTGCTAAAAAAAAAACACAGCCATCCCCGTGGCTGAGCCCAGGGAGCCCCGCGGCAACCCCCGTGTTGCCAGGCCCCACGGCCCGGTCCCACTTCTTGGACCGCTGCGTTCCCGCTCCGCAGCCTGTGCCGTGGCCGCGCGGGGCTGCGAGAGGGCGGCAGCCCCTCGGCTCTCCTTCCCACGCGCCTTCCTCTTTTTTTCCCTTCCCATTTTCTTTCCTCCTAATCCTTTTCTTTTTCTTTTTCTTTCCTCTCCCTCCTTCCCCGTTCCCAGGT